ATATATATATATATATATGTTATTCTGATAAAAATGCATTTTCATTCATCTTTTTGAAGAATGTTAGTAATTAAATAATTAATTTGCTTAAACAAGGACAAAAAAAACTTTAAAAAATAAAACTGGGGAGCAAATTTTTTGTTGCATTTATGCAAATGCTTGATCTTGCCTTAATCGAGTGTGGGGTTTTCAAATCTAAAATGATCTCTGCTTTTAAAGCTACAGATTTTTTTACATTTAAATAATACTTTTAGTTTATTTTTCATCAAAATCTACAAATTTAAAAACGTTGTATATAACAGGGACAAACTTCTAGTTTGAACACATCTTCGAGATTAAATTTATATCAAAACCATGCCCGGAAATATCATCGTACACGGATAGGAACACCTCCCTATTCTGCTTAGAAGCTATTCTATATTCTGCTTAGAAGCACACAAAGAAACGGTTAATAGTTGGTAAGCGCCTCTATCGGCGTATGACAACATTACCAGGCTAAAGTTCCAATACAAATTAAACCTGATAATGTGCCCTAACTCTCTAGTTCATCGCATCATTTACGCAGCACCATGTTATATATAAAACATATTTAATCTTCTACATTTCAAGGAACATAGACCAAAAATGTCGTTAAAGACGGTAGCTTGGAGAGAGAAACCAATTGCAGTTATGAAGTCAGGGATGCGTAAATATCTAATATCTGTTAAAAAAAATCACTTACAACAGAAAACAAAAAAAAAAAATTCTTAAATGTAACTTGTTCTGAAATTTTTATTTTTTATTTTTTATATCTTTCTTCGATTCTCCAAAAGTTTATAATTTTTTAAATAAATATTACTTAAATTTCAGAAATGTTTTTATTTTTATTAAAGTTCAAAAATATAATAGTGAAACTTTGCATTTTTCAACAATTTGATACAATATTTTTATGATTATTCGTTCTATGTATTCTATTCATTTTATATATATTATACATTTTATATATTCTATTCAATCTATTTATTATATTCATTCTATTCATATAATTTTTTATAGTATAAAATATGCGATGTATCAATACAATTCAAATTATATTAATAATTGTCTTTATTTTATGTGTGAAAAAAGACGTCTTCTTGAAAACGCCTATAATATAAGCCACTTCAATATACTTTTAGCTTTTCAAAATACTTTAATTTCTAAATAAATATTTATTACATTATTACATTCAAAAGATTTCTTACGTTAAATCCTATCTAGTGCAACAACTGTTGCTTAAACTTATTTGTCATTAGCACTGAATCATTACTTGGTGCTTTTAACCAAACAAAATAATTTCTTTAACCTGAAAAAAGGCGGCTTTTTACCATTAATTTATATAAAATTTATCAATAAGTGTGCCAGCTCACAACATTTTGTCAATTTAATATTGCAACTTTTTTTCAGAATTTTCAATCCAATATGATTTAACTATTAGCAATTCATTGCAATTGTTTACATTTCCAGAAAAATTCAGCTTCCTCTGCAATGTTAGTGTCCATAATGGGGAAGGCAATACACTACACCCTACGTTCTAGAGGATGCCATGATGACATCCAAAATCACATTTGTTTCTAAATCCGTGTTTTATAGCCTCAATCCTAAAAATGTTTTGTAAATGTTTTCAGTACATACAGTTTCTCTATCTCTGATATAGGGTGTATATCATGTATAATACGTGTAATGCACTAAGAACATGACCTTTTCATATGCATTGAATATATATATATATATATATATATATTCAATTTGTTTTGAAAAAGATATCAATCGTATACAATCGTCATGATTCGCATTTAAAATTTCTAGTTAAAAGGCAAAGCAGTTAATATACACAACACACAAAAGTTATTAAAATCAGAAAACTAATAATACATAATAAAAAATAATTTTAAAAAAATGCAAAGCTTCATATTTAAAATTTTTTTTCTCCATATTTTTGAGATTTTTAGGATCAATAAACATTTNTATATATATATATTAATATTATTCTTAATGAATATTTAATAAGAATTTAATAGTTACAAACAAATACTTACACTATTTACCAACATTAAACCATACACATAATCATTGCATTGCATAATGGGTATTGAAAGGCTAATGCATAAATTCCAATCATTGAATGGTAAGTTATTGGGATGTTTTACTTTATTAAATTGGAAATTTATTGAAACTCAGAATGTTCTGGAAACCATTATTCAATGATTCAAATTTTGGCAATAAGCAAATACAAAGCTTAATTTATCAAGGATTGGTTTTGAGCCTGTTGTAACAAGGGTGTTAAATTTTTAATGAACTAAACCGATTTGAAATTTGTTTTGTAACTAGTGTTAAAATTAATTTATACAGTTACTGAAAAGTTTAGGCTTTATGCATATCTTGAACAATCAAAAAAATACAATTGCCTTTTAAAATTTCTTAAAAGGTATGTTAAGTTAATATTATTTAACAAATTATAATAAGCACAATAATTTATTATGAGAAGTTTCAAATACCTCGCCCTATCTGATTCGGGTATTCGAAGACGAACAGAGACCCATACAGTGCGAGAGTATCAAGCAATAGATAACCGAAGGCACACGAATCGTATCAGGCAATGAGCAGGGCACCATAATCAGATGGAAGGATAGAGAAAACTTGCAAGCGAGAAAAACGCTCCAAGTTTAAAGCCACAGGGTGGCAGTGCCTTTCTTTCACATACGAGTTGTCAAAACCAAGACAACAGCTTCAAAAATGCTATTTAATTTTTAAAAAGTACTGTTAATCTTTAAAAATATTTTATTCACATTGTTTTTCATATTTTAAACTCTAGAATTCGGTAATTATGGAATTAATATAAAATTAAATTTAAATCATTCAATCATAAATTAATATTATTTTTGATCGGTTGTCGTTTTTGTGGAATGAATTTTAAAATAATAACTGCTCTTATTGTAGGCGGAGAATGACTGCAACACAAGGTTTGAAACATCCCTGGTTGAAGGTAATTAATTTGAATGTTTTGTATTCCAATAAGTTTTTTTTTATATTTCAAAGGTTAAGTAAACACCAATGTATATTATTTTAAGTTTCATAGGTGATGTTTATTTTGTGCCTTTATTGCCAAAAGAATTTCAAAAATAGGTGAATAATAGAAGCAATACTAAACAGCGTGAAATGAGGAAAAATTAAACTGGCCAAGTTTCGGTTCGAAAGTAAATAAATAAAAACTTTATTCACTGTCTGAATACAGAAGCGGTAAACAGTGTAAAAGGGAAACACTGAGATAAGGAAAGCGAAATTAAAGACATGCTACAACAAGAAAAAAATTGGTTGAGCAATAGGCTTGAGGGGACAAAATTGAGAACGATAATCAAACAAATGAATTGCGGTAAGAAAAAAAGATGTGGTGGGGCTAGGGAAGAACTCCAGATTTTGTACAATGTAGAAATGAAAGAAAAACAGCTAAAATATAGAAATAAAATTTTTTTCTAATTCTTCATTTTTTGAAAATTTATTTTCTTTTACTTTCTACATCTTGTAGCATTTAAGGTTCCCCTTTGCATCGAAAGCATAAATTTTTCTTATTTCACATCGTTTGTTTGACCATCTTGATCTTCTCTTCCTACCTTATTGGCCGACCCCTTTATTCCTTGCAGCAAATTGTTCGTAATTTTCTTCTGAATTGCTGTGTTTCCGTCTTTCATTCTTTATGTGAACACTGTAGAAGGCTTTTCATTATAGAAAAGAAACTATATATGTGTTTATTTGTCTATATTTACAACATTTTCTTATTGGATAACTTTATATGTAGAACAAAAATAGCAGAAACTTTTATATTCTGAAATAGTTTAAGAAAATCTTAAAGTGGAATTGGCACATAAGTTGTAATCTCATTTATCTACAGCTTATATTCTATTTCTCAATGTTACACTATATTTTTCTATGTTGCGCTATATACTTACTTATTGTTTCGGCTTTTTAAATAATTATGTACCACAAGAAATAGTGAAAATAATAATTTATAACTACGGCTTCTGTAATTGCTTTGTTCCCCTTTCCCTCATTAAATCAAATTAAGGATCAATAATGATAAAGTGATCTTATTTAAAAATATGTATTCATCAATTTTCATTATTGCAAATTTGAGAGATTTTTACAAGTGTTTCTTCGTTCATTAGTAGTTAAATTTAAAATATACTAAATACAGCTTTCAAAACTAAAAAGAATCTTTAAATTAAAAAGAAAATATTTGCTCCAATGAGACCATGCCATTTTTTTAAAAATCTTTGAAATCAGTTTTGTTTTAGTTTCGTAAGAAAAAAATAATTTCGTAAGTTTCGTTATTGTTACTGATATCTTTAATGTTCTTATCCATTAGGGCATTTATAGTTCAAAAATCACGAATTCTATGACCCAGAAGCATTCTGAGAGTATTTACTAATATTTTGATGCCAGATCCTGTTTGTAACACCATTTGTTTTCGTACTTTTAAGCATAAAATGTCATTTTTAGTTGCATCTGCTTTTGGCTCTTTTGCCAGGAAACTCTAGATTCAAATTATTAAAAACCCATGTCTCTATCGTCTAATCTTCAGTTTAGTCGTTCAAAGATAAACGCAATTTTCACACATAATTCTTTTAAGTCACACAGCAGAAATAAGTCTTATAGATCCCTTTTTCTGCACAAGTACAAATGTAATTTTTTTGCAATATATTAAATCATTAAAAAAAGAGATTGAATTACAGTCGTAATATTTTATTGAGTTTATAATACAGTGCACGGGCAAAAACATCTAAAAAATGATTAAATAATAATGTGTTAAGTGTTTTTTTAAACATATTTAACAAAAATAAACTAATAACCATTAATAAAGCTGGTAGGCAAACTCTTAACTAAGATGAAAACTGTCTATTGACTGTTTTCAGCTCATATTATGAAATAAGAAAAAAAATTACTGCACCAACTAGAATCCTAGTGATGAAAGCACAATACTTTTTCCGTTTTTTTCCAACACATACGGAGCTTCTAGTGTTCTACAACACTCCTCAATTGGCGGTTTCAAACTTGTAAAGAATTCTTCTAACCGCAAACTTTGAGATTAAATAAAAAAACAAACTGCTGTAAGTTATTTTACAGCAATTTTCAAATGAAAAATTCTAACAGTGTAATATGTTAGAGAAAGATATCTATCATCTATTGGTTTTTGACAGCGCTTTTGCTGACATTATAATTTTTTTTGCTTAAAAATTAAACTGTTTGTCTGCTTCTTTTGCCTTTTTTAAAGTTCTTATGAATTCTTGGACTAAATTTATGCTTTAATACTAAGAAAATTATGTGAATGATGGTTTAACTCTTCTTATATACTAAGATACATTTTAAATTTCGTAGATCCCCCATAAGACAATTATCAATATATATTGTTATTTTCTTTTCTTAAATGATAGTGTATGATAAAGTTTTAATTGAGTTTTCTTAATAATTTTATTATAGCTTTACTTTACATTGTAGGTTATAAACATTATATGATAAACATTAACATGATATGATAAACATTAGCTTGTACTCTAAATATATATCAGTCATCATTTTTCATTCAAAATAATAAAAACCATATACCTATCAGGGTAAAAAAGTAGAAATTTAAGAGAAATCGTTTAATTTCTATTTATATATGTGTTTCCGTTAAAGTGTATAATTCAGTTATTTCGTAGAATAACTTAGCATTTCATGAAATAACTAGACAAGTCAGTTAAGGTACATAATAGATTAATTGATCATAAATAGCTGAAATCTCTGGAAAAATACAATTTATCCATATTGCGGATGATTAATTGATAAATAACAATGGAAAGCAAATTATATAATTTATTATTACTCATATTGCTCGTATTAATAACTATGTCTAAAAGCAACGGAATGAAACGTACACACATACATGTCATTGCAAAGCAGGTTTAAAACTTACTGAAAACAGCTAAAACAGATTTATCGTATTTCAAACTTAAACGATCAAGTAATTGTTCGTTTTAAGAATACATAGTTAAATCGTAGAATTCAACAATTTTATATTCTGTAACTGATTTGACTAGTTATTTTATGAAATACCTAGTTATTCAATGGAATATTTTCACACTTTAACGGTAGCATATATATTTAAAATCAATTTGACAGAAAAGTAACTCTCTCTCCCTCTGAAAATGTATTCATGTCCAAATATTAAACATTCTTCTACTAAATACTTAAAATATAAATGCTCATTCCAAAAATATTTAAGTTACTTCGCCACTCATATAAAAAATGACACAATTTTCAACTATAATTTTCGCTCTTTATGTAGTATGGATAAATGCATTTTTGAAAAAAAAAACTGCAAAACCTTGTATCTTTGTCAGTTTAAAGAAACCTCTACCAGTCATATTTAAGCAATCAGTTGAAATTATTATGAGCACTTTTTGTGTTATTTTTTAATGAATATGGAATAAAATATATTCCCAGTAGTTTTATGAATTCCAAAAATGAAACAGCTATATATGTTATTTTAAACTAATAATAGTTTAAAGCGATGTGAAGACAAATTTTATACTTTTTACGTAATTATGTCTTTATGCTGTGTGGTGGAACAACTTAAATATTGCTGAATATAGTGAAGAAAAATTATTGGTATATTGTATAACATAAATTTTTATTATGAAATTATATTATTAAAGTAAAAAAAAATCATTTGAAATTGAGAACGATCAATGCAACGTAAAAAATATATGAAATATTTTTTTTTGCATACTTGGATATTTTATTTAGTGTTTTAGTGATAGCTCTTGAAAAAAGTCTAAAAATTGCAATTCTAATCATATCATAATATAGTTCAGTATATCAAATGTTAATATTTATTTCACTAACTATCTGTTAGTTTACAATAACTTTTGTGTTTTCATATTTATTTAAACGAAATATTACGTTATATCTCCTATTCTAATTAATATCAATGGCTAAAAGCGTAATTGAAATAATTGAAGTATTTTAAGGGTCAAAAACATGAATTCGTTAACAATAAAAATTGTTTATTTAGAGAAGGGTGTTTCTGTGTCTGATTTCGTAACTTAAATTACCGTCTGCAATAATTAATTAGTATATTTGAGGTCACCCCCTCAAATAATTAAGACTAAGTCTCTAGAATGTGAAGATCTGATCATTAGATCAAAAGTTATTCAGGGTGGTTAATTTCTTCTTGGTGCTCTTTGCTTTCTAAGAGAAAATGCAATATTTATCATCTGTAATTTTATAAAAACTGCAAAAGAAAAAAAAGGAACTAATAACATCTAACAGGAAAACTAATAACATCGTAAACAGGGATGAAATCAATTTATTACCTGATTATGTAGTGTTACAGAATACAACATGAATATTGCTGAATAAAGTATGTACAATATTGAAAAATATTGCTTTATTATGTAGCATCATATTTTTTTTTATACTTTAATTGATTCTTAGTGTTGCTGTTAAATGCAATAGAACTTTAACCAGTATGCAATAATTTTATATTTCTGTTGTTTTGTAATAGATATTTGCCTTTTTTTAATTTTTTAAAAAGAAGAAATTATATTAATTAACGGATGGATCATTAAAAGTGATAAATGTGCCATTTAAAATAAGGTAATTTATTTATAATATATATATTTTTTATATTTTATTTGCAGAAGGGTGAACCAAAGAAAGATACAAAATTAGACAAAAAGAGATTGAAAAGATTTGTTATCCGTAGAAGGTGGCAGGTATGTTAATTATGTACATTTTTTTACTAGAACTATTAATTTTATTTTCAGACTTTGAAATATATGAATATTTGATATAATATAACAGTACGCTCCTTAGAAAAGTTTGAACAAGTTTTAAAGTAATGTCGTTAAATTTTGGGACAACCTTAAAACTGAACAAAAATCAAGCATTGTGCTGGTTTTTTTAGCCAATTTTAGAGAATTTTTTTAAAAATTTAACAACATATTGAAGCAATTTTAATCTGTTCAACAAATCTGTAATCAAAATCTGTAAACAAAATCTGTAAACAAAATCTGTATTAATCTGTAAACAAAAAATAAATAAGTTACAATTTCCTTGGGAAAAAAATCATTTATAATTTAGAATAATTTCACCAAATTGATAATGAGTAAAATATTTTTTTATAGTATATAGATTATTTTATGCTTAAGCATTGTATTAAAATAAATAGAAGTACTTAAAATTGTTCATAATGTATCAAAGATAATCAGTTTTAATATAAATAGGAATATGAAATCTTAATAAATATATTTTTAAACTATTGACTAATTCACTAAAACTTCCTTGTTCTTACATATGATTTTTTTAAACATTAAATATTTTCTCAAATTTTACGTCAATAAATAATTGAAAATAGGAAGAAAAATGAAAAAAAAATTATTAATGAAACTATGCTAAAAGATTTGTATTATCACAGAAAAACTTTTTTTATTTAAGTTATACAATTATTTTATACTTGAATTAAAAATTTTGATACAATACGAAAAACAATAAGATCAAAGTTTTTACTTTTATTTTTTAGAAAGCTGTGAATGCTCTTTTAGCCCTAAAAGCCATGGGAGCCACAATTTGATGTCATTTCAATTAAGCTCAAAGACTGTATTTTCTATTATGAATGTTTTAAAATTTAAATATCTTTTCATTTTCAAAAAGTATCTTTTTTTACTATTGATAATAGTTGAAAATGCTTTATCAAAAGTTTCATTTTTATTTTCCATTCAAAATAATTGCAGTTTGTTAATTTTGAAGAAAAAATTTAATCTCATCGCTTTTCTGATAAATTATGTTGTAATTATATTTATATTTTTACCCTGCTTATTTTCATTTTATTGTAGTTATTTATTTATTTATTGTTATTATTGCTATCATCCTTACTGGATTGTTCTATTATTGTTTATTTCGCCTTTTCCTAACATACTTTTTCGATTAAAATAGCGTATCATCATTCATTTGTTATCTTCTTATATCTACCTTATGTTTACTATCTATTCATGTCTAACCTTTTTGTCATTAAACAATCAATTGTGTCATTATTTTCTTGTAAATAAATACATTGATTTACCATATACTATCTTTTGAGATTGTAGAAGACCATAAAAAATTGAAAAATACTAAAATATTGCTGCACCACGAAATTTTTTTAAGAAAAAAAAACAGTGGAAATACTTTTAATTTTTAAGTTTTAATTTTGTGATTGGACTCCTTTTGTGTCTATTTTTATTTAAAACTTAATAAACCAGCATCAAAACTTGAAATCATTTCAAATTGTCAGGATTAGTAGTATTTGTGGTGCTACACCACAGCATCTAATTATGGTTGCTCTTTAGTAAAGGTCTACTTCTTAACGGTTAGAGTAAGAACTTTCGTGGAAGATTTTTCCGCAGGTACTTCCTCTCTTAAATTTCTCTCTTCAAATTTTTTTTTTTTTTTTTACCGAAGCATATTTGAAGAATGCTTTTCTGCATCTTAGTTCTGCTTAAAGCGCTGAGATACAGTGGTTTTTTTCTTCTTTTAAAACTGAATACACAATATGACTTTATCAATTAATATCTATTACTGACTCATTTAACCTCATGCTTCTTGATATATTAAAAAATATTAAGTTTAATTTGTGAAGTCACGATGAAATTTTAACTTTATTTCCAAGGTAAAAATTTGCCGATTTCATACATATTAAATAATTCAGGCAAATTTCGTTCATCTTTTTTCTATAATTTGAGAAAGCAAGAATTCTTATATAATTTAAGAAAATATTTTTAATGTTGCCCGAAAGTAATGTATTATTAATATAATAGTTATTGCAAAATATTCACAAGTCCCTTTTATGGGTTTAATTTAAACTTAATGTTGTTTCTTGACCTTATATTGGGCTTTAATGACTTATGACTTGTTTATGTTCCATGTATATTAACGCAATAATAACGACAAGTGACTTGGGTTCGATACCAGTGATGGCTGGTCGATACGAATTTTGCATCCGGCTCGCACCGACCACTGTGGTCGGTGCGACCCGGATGCAAAATTGAATACCCTCGGTAGATGGATCATGGGTTACAGTCCCCTTGCGTTAAGCCAGCCGTGAGAGGTTTTTATGGTTTTCCTCCCCATTTAAACGCAAAAGCAGGATAATTATATCAAAAAGTCCTCCACGAAGGCAAATAATTCCCAATACTTGATCCAGGAGTTCTCCTCTTTTCTGAATTGGGTTAAAAATTACAAAACTATGGAGTTATAATATGGAATTATAATATGGAGTTATAAAAAATTACAAAACTATGGTAGAAGTAAAGTCAGAATTGGGTTGGCTGTTCAACCCCTGTTATAAAATAAAATAATAAAGAAAATGATATCAAGATAGGGATCAATATGAAGCCAGGGACTTGGACTAGTATTAATTTCCGTGCAACAAATCTTGCCGATCTTGTTTTGTTCACCTGATATAAAATGGTTTTAGGATAAGAGGTTATGATAAATTTCAAAATTTTATCGAAATGGTTTCTTAAGTGGTGCCTTCGATTCGAATATTACAGACATCTAACCAATTAAGTATTTTTCATACTAATCAGATAAATGTTTTTCTTAACAACCATTTAATTATATTTTGGTGGTTCCTAATGTTCCCTTACTCAAAAAGAATTAATTTGCAACCCTACATTTTGCACTGAGAATTTACATTTTGTAGAAAGAGAGCATTTTCCATTTATAAAGTTCTTTAATTGGCATAACTAATGTAAGCACTTTGCTTGAATCAAACTCCAGTGTTGCTAAATATATGAAATAAAACGTGGAAGTATTATTACTTTTTGAAGCAAACATCATCATTCTGCTCATAATAATTTTTTAGCTTGATTAATGGAGAGAATGAGACATTATACTTAAAAAAAAAAAAAAAAAAAGAAGAAGGCTTTATACACTGACTTGTGACCAGATTGTGATGCGTTACTTACATGTTTGAGTTTTGAAGGGTGAACTATATCAGTTATCTTACAGCAGTTCATTAATTGTTTGCTTCCTCTCATCAATGGTAGCCTCAATACTTTTTCCAATTTAATTTTGCTGCTATTAGAATCCGAGAGTTCAATTAATGCACTTTTGAATTTTTTAAATAATTGTGATAACTTCAAGTTACCAATACAAAATTTTAAGGAAGAAAATAATGAAAAATATAATTATATCTCTTTTTATTATCATCAAGTTATGTCATCTTGGATAACAGAATCAAATGATTTTTAATATGCTGGGTCATATTCTCAATAACTCATATAAATCAGCATGCATATATAACAAGCATATAGAATTGTATATAGCATCATAATAACAATCATCTGTAACAATCAGATATAACAATGATATAATCATACATCATATACTTATGTAGCATTTAGATATCAAGTGCAGTATCTGATTTCTTTTTAAAAAATGTTGAGAATATCCCGTACGTTAATCCACCTGATTGAACAAAATAATTTTTAAACTACGTATTTCATTTTATATAAATGTGTCCACATAAAATATGTTCTTTGAAATATTTTTGTAAAAAATCTGTCGTCAAGCTTTTTAAAAAAACAAAATAGGCTTTTAGTTGCTCAAAATATCATTGTATTTGAAAAAAATATAGAATTTAGAAGGAAATGGATATAAAAATATAAATGAATAGTGGAATTGTAAAAAGTAGGAAAATTTCAGAAAATAAGAAAAGAAATTGAAGCTTTTTAAAGACATGAGAAAAATTTTAACGAATCGGAGATTAAGACATAAAGTAGAAAATTAGATAAAAAATATATCTTTTTTCAATCATGCAATGAGAAACTTGAAATTAATGAATTTTAGAGTTTAAATTTAAAAATATAAAATTCAAGAGATGTTTCTAAAGTTTGAGAGTTAATAAAATAAAATATATTTCATTTGTCAATCCAAAACCATTCTTAAGGGAAGTACTTTTCGGTGGTACATACTTTTTGTAAAAGTTTAAGAAAGTAAAAGTGTTCTAGGCCATAGTAAAAGTTCTAAAGCCAATTTGTTTGGATTGAAATAGAAATATTTTCAGGTATTTAGTTTAGTGTTGATTATTTTGTAGAATACAAATGAGGAAAACTTAAATTTTTTGCTGATTATTCTAACATTTACTATTTTTTTAATCATGCATCTTATGCAGTCGTGCATAAAAGTTTAGCTAAAAGCATTGAGATCAGCAAAGCATACTTGAACATAACTTCTATTGAATTGGCACTGAGTTAATTGCATGTAAAGCATTTGTTTTGTGACCAAATTAGTATCTGAAAAATTTAAATTAGCATTAACAGAATCGAAAAATTAAGTAAATAAAGGCAACGTTTTCTTTAAATATTGATAAAAAAAACTAAATGTATTAATTAAATTTATGAAATCTTATTATTATTATCTTTCATTATCTAATCTTATTTTAAAACACATCACACACTTAAAATAATCTTCACAGCAAAAATATTAGTTTAATGAATTTATTCAGTACAAAATGCAATGTTAGTTTAAAAAAATAAAGTATTCTCTTAAAATTAAAGATTATTTTTGTGTGAAAAATGAGTGATATTTAAACCAAAGTAATTTTAAAAAAAGATCAATGCCTGGAAAAAAATTGCAGTAAATCTCTCTCATATATAACATTTCAATATTTCAGAAATTTTCTAACTGTTTCAACTTGTTTCAATACAGAAATATCTAGAATTGCTTCCCTTAGAAAGGGGTAGCGAATTTAGTGGATGATAAATTTTCTCCTTTAGTCAAAATGATTTGTTTCTGTAAACTATTTAAGGTTCTTAGAATTCTGAAGCACGTTTTGTTTGTGGTGCACAAGTTCAGGTGAAAGAATCGTCATTATTAATGTGAAATAAAATAACGACAAACAATCGAATTTTGGTTTAAACATTATCATTTTTAAGATTTTTAATATTTTTTTAGCAGTTAGGAATGCATTGTTACTTACAGCATACTAATGAAGGCAATACAATTTACTCATTTTTGCTTCAGATTTAAGCCATTCTTGAACCAAAGGTTTCAAGGAATCAGATGTCTCACAAGTATAATAAAGATCTGGACGTTGCATCTTTACTATATTGTTACGATAGAAATTATTCAAATGTTATGAATTCTAATATTCTTTTCTTACGTGCAGTACAATATTATCAGTTATAAATGTCCCTTAAATTTAATTTATCACTGGCATTAAGGGACCCATACAAATGATGAATGTGCTGCTCTTAATCATATATCTTAAGTTTGACATCACACAAGGGAACATGTAAGAATTAAAGCAAATACTTCTTTCTCGTGGAAGACTTATATATCGAAACCAAATCGGATTTATGCTGAATAAAGAATAATACCACAATTTACTCCATTTATGTCCTGGCTTTGATACAATTAGGCTCAGTCTGATTGTGAGTATTTTGTTATGAATTCATTGGATTTTTCTATGCTATAGGTACGGTAATAGGTACAGGTATGGTAATAGGTACAGGTATGGTAATATATGCAGGTATGGTAATAGGTATAAGTATTTTTCGTTAGTTGAAAATTCTTAATATTTCATACAGCCAAACGCGAGAGCTTTATTTCATAATGAACCTTTACACACCTTGAACTAGAAGAAAGTTTTATTTTCGTTCAATTATCG